TTCTTAAACAATATATGTTGTGCCTTAGCAGTGTAAACAGGGTTGGTTCCATGATCCCCAGTAAAATTATCTGTTAATACCAGTAGTGTAGCAAGACCGTTTCTAATTCAAAATGTGTGTAGGATAGTGTACTGATGTGAATAAGTGAGCTCGATGGCGCTTGGTTGATGGTGATGTGTGTAGTTGGGGTGTGAATATGAAGAAGTGTTGTGTGGGGTGTGTGAGGAGATGGGGTTGTGTTGTGTAGACGTCAGCGGGGTTGATTTTTGGTGGATTGCGCGTGTGTGTGTATAATGGTACATTTTGCGTGGGTGTTAAAAATGTGTATAGAATATTTGCTGTTGGTTTGTGCGAGATTATGTGAGATTGCAAATAATATTAATTAGGTTGCAGATTGTGTTAATCGACTTCCTTGGTCAAATTGATTTTGGGAATTTGGGGTTTTATCGCTAGAATGTAAATAATGGTATGTTTGCGTGGGTATTTTGGGTGTTAAATGATTGAATATTTGCTTTAGTTTGTGTGGTTATCGCATAAATTAGAAATAAAAAATTATGTTGTGTAGATTGTTAATCAAATTCCTTCGCAAAAACTGATTTTGATATTTTTTTGTAATTAAGACCGGTATAAGATGTGATTGTTTAATTTGATATGATTAAATGTTTGTTACTTTTTGCTTGTGATTACTCCCACATGCGAATTTACTGTGCATGCTGATTTTTGTTTTTTAATTAAAAATTGATTTTTATTTAGCTAAGATATTATTACTAAAAACCAGTGGTGCGGATGTTTAATATTTTCTTGGGTACAGCTATATTTTGATATAAATGTAAAGAAGTAAAACTTAATTTATTTTAAATTTCATTTATTAATATATTATAATATACAATATAATACAATAAAATATAACAAATGTAACAATATAACTTTACCTAAAAATTATATTTTTTTTTGGTGTTATTTAGGCAGGATCGTATTGAGGAACCAACACCGTAAAATCCCTACATTTTCCTGAGTGTAATTGAATCGCCCATTGTCGTGGTTGGCACAATGATCCTGGGTCCTTTCAAATTTGGATGTCGCTTGGATTGTATCGTCATATTGAGACACGTCAATAATTACTGGATAGTGTCCTAGTTCATGGCACTTTCGTTGTAAAAATTCCGCTTTCTGGTTACCACGGACGTAAACATAGTTTGCAGAATATAACAAGTTTGATTGTAATATTTTGTTTACCTGTCCGTGGTCGACAAACCCTGACGTATACTGGATTCCATGGACATTTCTTTCCAGGTATCTCACTGTCTTTCGGTCCATTTCATCCAGGTTGTTATACGGAATTGCCGATGTAAATAGAAAATGGTACTGCTTAAACCCAATTTCTATAGACAACTCCTTAGGGTGGAAAATACCTTCAACGGTAAATCCCTGGATATCCATGGTTGATAGTGTATAGTGTATAGTAACAATAAAAACTCTCGAAGAATTATAAATAATGATATATTTGCATGGGTATTTATACGCAAAATTATCAAATTTGCGCACGTTTTAAGATTGGCGGTTATAAGAGATTAGAAATAAAAATTAGCTTGCAGATTGTTAATCAATTTCGAAATTATTTTTTAATATTTTTAATTTATCAAGACGGATATAAAATGTGATTGTAAAAATTTGGGTAATTGTTAGTGACATTTGCAACACCTAATTTAGATATTTTGTTAATAACATGGTAGAAAATTGTGATATGATTAGTCGCCAACTTCCTTTGCAAAAAATTATTTTGGATATTTTAGCATTATCAGAAACATGCTAAAATGCGATTGTAAAGTTTTGCTGATTATCGATTTCCTTTTGCAACACTTAATTAGACTTTTTACTATCACGCATTGACATGATGTTATTTTAATTAAATAACTTTGGTTTCCATAATTTTGAATATTTTTCCATTTTTTTTTTATTGTCACGTGATATTGTTTTATTTAATAGGTATTTGTCTATTAAAATCATTATTAGTGTAATGTCTTCGGAAGACTATAGACGTAAACTTGAGGAATTCGGTGAAAAAGTCAGTAATATTAGTAAGGACATAAAGTTTTATGAGGATAAAAGTAAAACTATAGAAGAATTGGCAAATTTGAAATTGTGGGATAAAGTATTTGATAAATATCGAACCCCTGCTCCTCAGTCAATTTACCCTTTAAGACGAATTAAGCCGAAACCATGTTAAATATAAATTTAATAATACAACAATTTTAAACGGTATACTATATACCAATGTGCCGGATGGGGTTGATCATATGTCCGTTTGTTTTGATTTGGAGAACCTAAGACAAGATTGTACGCTTTCAGAATGGAAATTAATGAATTTGTCAATGGTGAATGATGATAATTTGAAAACATTTTCAATAGAAATACCTATGGCTGCAAAAGAGACGCTCAATTACAAATTGAAACCTATATTTGCAGACATGAGTGTCGGAGATATTCAGGCGTGGAAAACTGTTATATTAGATCAACCTTTACTGGAAATTGATTTAAGACATGTTGGAGAAGAAATACTAAGAAACGATACTACGCAAAATGAATTTTATAAATTATTTGTTGTTACATCTTTTACTTTATCATCAATACTTATTTTATTATTAAAAATGTTAATAAAATATATAAAAAGAAAATTAAATAGTAATAAATGATTGAAAATGTGTATTTGTGTTTTAATAAAACGTCATCTATTTTAAATTTCATTTATTAAATAAAAACAACGTAAATACATTTCATTTTTTAGGTAAAATATTTATGAAACAGTAGCGTTCAACATTTTCTTGGGTACAGTGAATTAGATTAAATTATAATTTTTACAACTTCTGTCAACGGGAAGTATTCAACCATAGAATCATGCACTATGATGCAGTAAACCTTAGTATTTGCGGGGAATCCAGTATCACTTTCAATTTCTAGTCTTACATCAACTGTGGATGATTTCATTTTTTCTTCTTGTTTAGAACAATCGATTACAAAGAGAGCATGCTTTTTAAATTCTGTATAATCTAAAAGAGGATGTTTTATTTTGGAATTTGAATAGCTTGAATAGAATTCCGTGTAATCGTGGAATGCCATCATATAATCATTGTTTTTGAAGTCATGCTGTATTCTTTCGTTGGGCCAGTATTCTCCATTTAACGATAACCTTATACTTGAAACATTAGCATCATCAAAGCATATAGCATTAGCCTTTACGTTACTTCGCTTATCCGTTTGAAAACATACAATTACAAAACGGGGTCGTTCTACAGATGCACTAGTCTTGACAGACCAAATTTCTCTTTTAGCACCAACAGTAATCGCTGGTAATTCATTTAACTCCCACTTCCGAAATGGTATCAATATAGATCGATCCTTTTTTATAGACTCCATTAATTCTATTTTAATTTCCCTAACTCCCTATCATATAAAGGTCTATTGGGTAGCTTTAATGGAAATTTTTTTGTTTTTTTAAATATATACCGAATCCACGTTTGGGAAATTTCTTCAGATACAACCCTTTACCTATTGATTCCATTGCTTTGTTATGACGATAATATTCCTGTAATTTCTTTTGAGCATTCTTTGCACCTATTGTAGTCCTAGCAATAGCGCTGGCGCCTCCTACGAGGCTCCCCAGGACTCCTAGGGCTCCTAGGATTGGTAAAAGAGGTAAAAAACCACCTGATTTTGCTTCAAATGGAATTATTCGAGGAATCTTAACATGCTTTTTGCCACCTATTTTTTTAATTGCAAGTCTCGCAGCTTTCAATGCATGTGATGCAGATTTTTTTAAATCTGATGATGGATTTTTTTTAACGACTTTGCAACGTTTTTGATAATATCCCGTTTAAAGGAACAACCCATACCAAGCTTTCTTTTCACCTTCATACCGTTTGTGACAATTAAAGCTGCTGACTTTTCACCAAATTTTGCGTCTTTTGATTTATAGCGTGTCCACGCAATGTCCTCTAATACTCTATCTGCTTTATGACGCTCCTCTTAGGATTTATACTGATCATACGCAATATCGTGTTCTTTGCATGCGGCGTCTAATGGATTAATACCGGAATCTCCGCGTGCAATACGCCTTTGGAGTTTTGTACCTGGCCCACAAAATTCGTAGCCAGGTAGATGTAATTCAAAAGGTAGTTTGTTTATGAGAGTATTTAAAATTCCTTCTCCCTGAAATATCAACATCACAATGATAGCTTATCATATAGCTAATTTTATTTATAATGATCATCATTTTAAAAAAAAGTATTACAAGATGAATGTTGTCCAACAAGAACAGACATTACCAATCGATAACTTTGATTTTGAACCCGCAAAAAACGTTCATGGAAAACATGGGAAACTCCTACCGGATTCCTTTCGTGCTATTATATGTGGTCTTAGCGGATGTGGTAAGACTAATGTAATGCTAGCACTTCTCTTCGACTTAAATGGCGCTAAGTTTAAAAATGTTTATGTATATTCAAAATCTCTCTATCAACATAAATATCAGTTACTTCTAGAAGTTTTAAGTAACGTAAATGGAGTTGGATATTTTTCATATAAAGATAATGATGATATTATTAGTCCTCATGAAGCCAAAACTAATTCAATTTTTATATTTGATGATGTCGCATGCGACAAATAAAATAAAATTAAGGAATATTATTCTATGGGTAGACATAAAAATATTGATGTGATCTACCTATGTCAGACATACTCAAGAACTCCGAAACAATTAGTCCGAGACAACTGCAATATAATTATGCTATTTAAAATGGATGAAATCAATTTAAAACACGTATTTGATGAACATGTATCGCCAGATATGAGTTTTGATGATTTCAAAAAGATTTGTTCGCAGTGTTGGACTGACAGGTACGGTACTTTTGTGATTTTGCACTGAATTGTGGCAGATATCGCAAAGGATTCGATAAGTATATAAAAATGTAGAAACAGTATATTTAATATCATTTTTAATCAAGATGTCCGATAATCAAGTTGCAGCACGTAAAAGAAAAATTGCTGAATTGTCTCGAACGATTAGAACGAAATACTTAGCTTTAAAACTAGGTAGATCTGAGTTGGATGAAACATTAAATACATTATTCAAACCTATATCTGAACCACTTCAGCATATTGCAAAGTCATCAAAATCATTATCTCAACATGATAATGTTAAAAAAATTATTAATAAAGACGAACCAGTCGAAATTAAAAAAGAATCATTAGTCAATTATAATGATAATTATAATGATAATTATAATAATAATTATAATGATAATTATAATGATAATTATAATGATAATTATAATGATAATAATTATAATGATTATCAAGGTTTTACTGAAGAATCAGGAAATGTGTACATAGATCAATATCCTGCAATATATATTCCATTCATAAACGAATACATGAATAAAAGTAGTAAAATAGACAAAAAATATGGACCCACTTATAATGAGACGTTATCAAAGTGGTTGCTTGATGGTAAAATAATAAACTTTGCTAAAAGAAGAGGTCTTATTGAAACAGAGGGAAAACAGATTATTGGTACACCGGGACTATTTCAATTAATATTTTACAATAAACCCGTAGGTTACAATAATGATGATTTAAAAAATTATAAATCTGTTTTAGAAACAACTAATGTTCACAGAGATACTCGAGGACGATTGGCACATAGCTCCAAATATAAATATATCAAGATTATAAAACCAATGTTCTCACGTCAACGTAATGTTGCAGGTACCGGTATGTCTATGAAATATAATAATTATCCTGTGGAGTAAGTTTATTGGGACTCACCCAATGAACTTGTAGATCGTTTAAAACTTTTAGTAGCCTCTCAATCTGCCGGAAATAATTCCCATGACAATGAAATAGTTGCTATAATAAATGAACTCAGGGAAGCTAATATAATATATTAGGGTAACACAATATTTTTTTATCATTTGCAATATGAGTCTCAATAAATTCGGTGGTAGGTCAATAGGTGCGCGTAGGTCGTTAATTCCTCAATTTGAAGTTACATCGGATGGTAACATAAGCGTTGAAAATATTAAAATTTGTAATTTAAAAGAACCTGTTATATCCCTTGGATTTAATAAATGAAAAGACTTTATTTCTGAATATCACTTTTAATCGAAACTTATTCATTCGTACATGCACTATGCTTTTTTTGTTACCGTCCTCCCCCTTCCGGACGACCCCCCATGCCATTTTGCGCATGTGCACTACACTCACAGGTATGCCAATCGGTTTGGCATTCTTTCGCGATACAACACCCCCACAGCTAAAATTAAAAGTTATCAACAATTCAGATTTCCTATAATTATGTAATTACCTTTTCTGAAATTTACAACTGTTACAGTTTTATTTACTTTTGCAGACATTATAACTTAAAAAAAAAAACATTAGGACTTTTACAATCATTACATCACATATTAAAATTATACGATTTTTACAATCATTACATCAAATATAAAGAACATGTGTTCCAAGATTACATTATATATTAATCTTTATTTAAAGTATCTTGTGTATAAAAATCTGCTAAATATTTGGGTGCTTTTCGCATTCTTTTCAAATTCATTGTACTCATATGAGTATTATTATGAGATGTTGATGGTTCTGTAACTTCAACAGTCTCACCCACCGGTAAATTTTTACTAAGTGGCACATTTTCATTTTGAAACTTACAACTACTATCATTGACCGAAACATCAAAATTGTCACTAACATTAATTCTAACAGAATTATCATTACTAGACAAAACTTCAAAATTGGTCATATTTTTATCTAAACTACTTACAACCACATTGTTTTCAGCATTTAAAGTTGTATCATCCTTTGCATAGCTGATGGTATATTTATAATATAATCATTGTCATTTTCTTTAATATGATCATTAACAGAATTTTTTTAATTAGAATTAAATGATTTATTTATTAATGATTTATTATGAACCCTATAACTTCTTATTTGGTTTACATGTCTCTTCCACACCAAATTGTCGTCTAATTTACATAAATATGTGGTTCGTCCCAGGATCTGACATATTCTAGCTTCAATCCATGGTTTCTTATTTTCCCTGTAATCTCTCACAACTACAGATTCGTCCTTTTCAAATTGTCTTCTCTTACCTCCATAATTTATTGCTTGCTTGCTTCTAGATGCTTTTACTCTTCGTAATAACTCTTCATTTTTCTCCTCTTCTACATCTCTTATTAGATGCCACCTTGTTCTTACTTCTCTCTTAAAAAGTAAAGAACTTGGTGTTACGCCTGTTGTGCTGTGCTCAGTTGTCCTATAGGCTAATAAAAACCTGGATATTGCCGTTGTCACTGGTACATTAGCGTTTCTTGAATCACCAATAGCTGTTTTTAGCTTATTTTTAAATACTTTTACTGCTGCTTCTGCTGTATTACTTTGAGGATTATACGGTGGGGTAAAAATGTGTTTAATACCATTTTGTTTGAAGAAGTTCCTTAAAGATTTACCCACAAACGCTGGACCATTATCTGAAACAACCTCATTTGGTAATCCAAATCTGGCAAAAATCTTTCTCAGTTTTTTTTCAGTTTCAAATGATATATTTTTCATTTTACACACCTCAATCCACTTGGAGTAAGAGTCAAATAATACTAGATACATTTTCCCTTTGATTGGACCCACAAAATCTAAAAAAATTCTTTCAAAAGTTCTTGTGGTTAAAGGCCACGACGTTAAATCTGTCTTAGGAGGATTTGATTTATTTTGAAGGCACGCTATACATGAGCTTGTTATTGCTTTAATATCTTCATCTATTTTGGGCCAATAAATGAACGATATGGCAAGTGCTTTAGCCTTGCTCATCCCTATGTGTCCTGAATGCAATTATTCTAGTAATCTACTTCTTAAAATTTTTGGAATTACCACTCTATGTCCCCATAGTAAAATGTCTTTCTCAATACTAAGTTCATGTCTTTTATTAAAATAACTTTTAAAATCGTCTGTTATTACCTTCGGCCAGTTATCTTGTTTAACATAATCTACAACCTTACACAGTATGCTGTCATCTGCTGTTCTTGCAATAATTTCTACATTATCAATTGGCCACTCATCATTTGCTTCTGTAAAGTTAATGAATAGTGCCTTTTCAGTATATTCATCTGATCTATACTCAATATTCAAAGGATTTCTACTAAAATAATCTGCTACTACATTCTTTTCCCCCTTTATATACTGTATTTCATAATCAAACATAGTTAAAAATGCAGCCCACCGTTGTAATCGGTTAGAAGCCATTTGTGGAATTGATTTATGTTCCCCAAAAATTGTTAAAAGTGCTTTATTATCTGTTTTTAAAATAAAATTATTTCCACAAAGATACTGGAAGAACTTATTACAACCCCAATAAATTGCTAAAGCTTCCTTCTGACAAGTAGGATAAATCATTTCAGCTTTCATAAGTTTTCTAGATGCACACCCTATTAATTTTTCTTTTCCATCAATAATATGGAAAAGAGTTGCACTTATACCTAGATCTGATGCATCAGTAGTTAAAACAATTGGAAGATCTGGATTAAAATGTACAAGTACTTCTTCTGAAGCTATTATTTCTTTAATTTTTATAAATGCATCATTGCAAAGTTTTGACCGTATAAATTTTCTATCGAATTTTAATAAATCATATATAGGACTTAACCCTAACCGTCCTGATAACTTTTACATACGTAGACTCCTGATAAGGGTACCCGGGTACCCGTGTGTATTTTGTATGGAAACTGTGAATTTTTGATTCTGTGCGCACGCGTCGTTTCGTTTCTCTTCGCATTGTCAGTATGTGTTTGGGCTTTGGCTTGTACAGTTGCTTCAATATTGTGTGTGAGCGCGTCGTTTTGTTTCTCTCTTCGGATTCACAGTTTGTGTTGCTTGGTTTATTTTGTTTTTATTAAGTTTTTTCGATGTCGCGCAAACGTAATGCATCTGTTATGGAAATGGAAGTGTCTGAAGGTATATCTTCTGGTGCGGGGCCATCATCTAGTGCTACACCATGTGCTGCTGGGCCATCTCACCCTACGCAATCTCCAAAAACCAGAAATGTATCATCATTAAGGAATATAGACCATTTACCATGGAGAAGTGGTTATCTAAATATATCCGCGTAAGTTAAGTTGATTAGTTTATTGACTATTATTTAATTTCTTTTTTGCGACTTTGGATTAGTTTGACCGCCGAAGATATTGATATCTTGTGTGAAACGGAAGTAGAAGACGACGAAACAACCGAGCCAATCGAATATGAGTGTGGCAGTGATGACGAATGGGTTCCTGATGAAGATGAAGCCTCGGATATAGAAATGGAAGGTGTCGTTGAGGCTGAAGAGGAAGAAGAAGACAACGAATTTGAATTGCGTGGCGAAGTTCCTGTAATTACTGAGAAATATGTAGCAACTGACCAGACTGAATGGTATTCCCAAGAACTACGAAGTGTTCAAACTCCATCACAAAATGTTTTGCGCAACAAAGGTGGGTAGAAATATAAGTGTAGTAGCAGTAATTTTATTGTTCATTGTTTAGGTGGACCGCATCGCAAATTTACTAGAGTGATGACAGCTAAGGAAATTTTCGATGAATTTATGACAGATAACATAAAAAATGAGATCATCAGACACAGCAACAAGAAAGGCAATGAAGTAGCATTGGATTTCAACCGGAATAATGCAGCCGATATTGCAATTCAAAAGGTAAAACCTCGCGAGTTTCGTCTAATTACAATGGAAGAACTTAATGCTTTTATTGGAGTTTTGCTGGTTATGGGTATAAATGGGGCTAGCGATGATCCTCCTTCAACGCTTTGGGGCAATCACAGTCATCCATTGTACAAAGCATCGTTAAGTCGCGATAGATTTCAGCAAATACTACGCGTAATTCGCTTTGATAACGCGTTTACGAGATCAGCACGCAAAGAAACAGACAAAGCCGCTCCTATCTCCGATATTTGGAATATGCTGATGAAGAATCTACAAACAAATTATTATCCGGATAAAAACGTTACAGTGGATGAGCAGTTATTCCCATTTAGAGGACGAACCAGTTTTACCCAATACATTCCATCAAAGCCGGCAAAATATGGCATTAAAATATTTTGGTTGTGTAACACATCCGATGGCTATCCTCTGTTTGGAATAATTTACACAGGCAAACCACCTGGTGGTCAGCGACAGGTAAAAGTTGGGGAAACTATTGTTTTAGCTCTGGTCTAAATGTTACGACAGACAATTTCTTCACTTCACTCACGTTGGCTAATCAGTTACGAATAAGAGGAATGAGCCTCGTCGGTACCCTTAGACAAAATAAAGCTTTTATTCCAAGAGAGCTACGGCCTAATCCCACTGACGATATAGGTACACCCCGATATGCATTCAACAAAAATGGAACTCTTTTATCTGTCGTGACCAAGAAAAAGAAAAGCGTTTTCTTGCTGTCAACGATGCATTATTCACGAGGGGAGCAAGCAGTTAATGGGAAAGAGGAGATAAATGACTTCTACAACAAGACCAAAGGCGGAGTTGATCTAATGGATCAGATGCTGTCCAAATATAGCACCAAACGTAAAACAAATAGATGGCCTTTGGCAATTTTTTTTAACATGATCGACGTGGCTGCGTTGGGTGCATTTTGTGTTTATTCCAGCCTCCATCCAAGCGTCAAAAAAAGACGAAGCTCTCGTCGTGGCTTTTTGACATCACTTGGCGTGGAATTGGCAACGGAAAACATGAACGAAAGGACCGCTCATAATAGAATAACCAGATTCACCAATGTCCGGGCAGCTCTTGAGCTTATGCTCAACAAAAAAATCTCTGAGCCAGCTTGTCAGGATGCTGCGGGCCCATCGGGCAGAACTGAGCGAGATAAAACTGGTCGGTTACCATTGAAGGGTCGTTGCTACCTTTTCGTGGCAACTAATCCCAAATCCGACAGAAAGACACGCAAGAAATGTGATGCCTGTAAGCGACCAATGTGCAACACGCACACTAAATGCATAGCACCACGATGCATTAGCTGCTGATTTATTGTTTTTTTTTTTCTCTTTTTTATCCTTATAATACTTTAAAATTTGTTGTAAAATAACTTGTAATTCTTAATAATCAATAAAACATAAAAAAAGCATAAAAAAAAACAAAAACAAACCAAAAATGTCTCTTTATTTCACATTCTTCATACAAAATGTATTAAAAAGTTTACGGGTACCCGGGTACCCTTATCAGGAGGGTAAGGACTACTCGACTTTGGGCGGCTCCACAACCGGCTCAAACAATTCTAGAAAGCTAAAAATGCGAAAAACGATAGAAAACAACTGTTTTTAAGATGTCATGGAACCTCAAATATGTAACTTTTTTTATTTGAAAAATATTTGACTTCAAAGTCCGTTCGGGTACCCAGGTACCCGTGTTAGGAGGGTTAGGGTTAATATTTCAGCTAATTTTGGTACATATTGAGCATAGTAATTTACCATACCAGTGAACCTTCTTACTTCAGTTATATTCTTAGGTGGATTTACTGCTAGTATAGCCTTAATCTTGTCGTCCGTTTTTCGGATACCATTCCTGCTAATACAATGTCCAAGATACACAATTTCTTCTTGAAAGAATTTACATTTGTCCTTATTGACCGTAAATCCTGCATCTTCTAGCTTTTTGAATACTGTTGCCAAATTTCTTAGATGTTCTTCTGTTGATTCTCCAGTTACTACCACATCATCGAGGAAATTTACAGCTCCTGGGGCACCTTGTAAAACATTTTCTATTATTTTCAGAAATATTGCAGATGCACTCGTTATGCCAAAGGGTAATCTTAGATATTTATAAAGACCAGTTGGTGTATTAATACAAAGAAGTTTTGAACTTTCCTCATCTACAGGTATTTGATTATACGCTAATTGTAAATCTATCTTTGAAAAAAATAAAAATTACCTTTATTTAATTTTGAAAAAACCTCATTTATACGCGGCAAAGGATACTTAACATCTTCTAAAACTTTATTTAAAGTCACCACATAACCTTATTTCTCCAGATGCTTTTAAAACTGGGACTATTGGTGTAGCCCATGCACTATTTTCTACAGGTGCAATTATATTTTGCCTAACTAATTTATCTATTTCATCATATCGTCGGTGAAACCAGAAAATGGTGTAACTCCACTTTTAATTGAAAATTAGTTTTTTGCGCCATCTATTTGAATTTGTTGGTGGCTATTGCCTGGGAATCTGTCTATTCAAAATAATTTACAGTGACCTGTTAATTTTCTGTTCAGAAATCAGTGTTTCTCCGGCTTATGTCAGAATGACGCGAAATAAGTGTAACTCCGCTATAAGCCTGTTGATTCGTGCTGAATGTGACAGTTGTGCAAAATACTTGTGAAAGAAATAGAACTAATTAAAAATTTATTTGTTCTTTTGTATATAAAATAATTTAGTGTAATTTAAACATGAATAATTATTATTTCTTTTTCGTATGGAGATACACTTTTTTCCATTTATATATTTTTATGGAGATACACATTTTTCCTGACATATTTAATACAAAAAACGGCAATTTTTATAAAAGGCCCGAATATTTCAGATATTGTTTAAATATTTATAAGTAACATTTATTGTTAAATTTTTAGTTGATACAAGTTTTTTTGTTTTAGATTTTTCATCATGTCACGTGGGTTGAAGATGCTCGCAATGTTAAATCTAAAATGCCCAGTCCAACCGGATGAAAGACCAGAATCGTCAGTTTCAAATACCGACGCAGAAAATACATTAAATGAAGCACTCAATAATGAAATACTGTTTGCATTGGATCATTCTAATATTTCAAATATGGAAGAAATAACAAGTTTTATTGAAAATGACAATATTCTCTTAAACGATTCCGCTATATTACAACCAGATCTCCTTGAAGAAGGACACACTGAGAGCTCCTGCCTCATTCTAAAAAGCGCAGCCGAGACTAATTTTGAACACAGTACAAGCCCAGTCCAAGAAGAGATGGAAATCGGAAATAATATTTTAAGTGATATTTCTGCAATTCAAAATACTGCTGGTTCTGAAAATCAAGAGCTGACTCAAGACGAGATGGTGGAAAACAGCGATACAGACTACCCCGCTTCAGTTCAATCGGATGATACCAGTGAAAATGAAAGTATTGAAGGAATAGAAGAGGAAATTATAGGCCATGGTTCGGATAATTCCAGTGATGAAGGTGGGGAGAAAAATCAAGAAAAAGAAGAGGAATCCAGACAAAATGGAAGAAAAAAAAGAAAGCTGAGTATTGCAAGAAGAGACGTGACTTACCAAGAAAATAAGAGGAAAAGAGAATTGGGCTTGCCATATAAAAGCAAAAAAAAGTGTGATGGAAATTGGGACTACAAAATAGCTAAACAGGGAAAATTTTTGACAAATCCATGTAACTGTAAATTATCTAAAAATGGTAATTCGCTACAATGCCAAAATCTTAACGAAAATAAAAGGCATGCGTTATTTGAAAATTTTTGGAATTAATCATCGCCTGAGAAACGAGAATATGTTAAGGGTCTTGCTATATTAAAAACTGTAACCAGACGAAGAGGTGCAAACGAAAATTCCCGTCGAAATTATTCTATAATATATTATCTCGAACAAGACCTTGTGAGATTTCGGGTATGCAAAAAAATGTTTAATGCCACCCTCGGACTAAAGTATAATTGCGTTTTAAACTGGATTAAGCCAAGTAATTCCCCTGAGGTAGATCGTGAGGATATTATGACTAGAAAACATGGGAAAAATACTAGGAAAAAACGTGAATCTGCCATTATTTATCAGAAGCTAAAAGATTTTTTTGAATTACTTCCAAAAATGGAATCTCATTATTGTCGTTCGTCTACACAAAAACAATATTTGGAACCTATTTGGCAAACTATGCAAGAACTGTATCGCTTTTATGTGAATAATTATTGCAATGAACAGAACGTAAAGCCTTATTCACGTACAGTTTTTAACGAAACCTTTCATGGAATGAATCTTTCTTTATTCCATCCCAAAAAAAGATCAATGCGATACATGCGTATCTTACAAGACTGAAAATGTAACAGAAGAAGAATATCAGCAACACCTGACATTGAAGCAAGAGGCAAGAAATGAAAAAATGGCAGACAAAAGTGACTCAACCATAGAATTTGTTTTTACTATGGATTTACAGTCTGTTTTATTAGCTCCTAGGAACAAAGTTGCGAGCATGTACTATAAAACGAAATTGGCGGTACACGACTTCACAATTTATAACATAAAAAATCATGAAGGGTACTGCTATCTATGGAGTGAAGCTGAAGGATCTCTGACTGCCAACGAATTTTCGTCAATTTTAGTAGAGTTTATTGAAAAACAGGTCTTACCAAAGATGAATGATAGCAACAGAACAATAATATTTTGGAGTGACGGCTGTACTGGACAAAATAGAAATGCATGTTTGTCTAATGCTTTACTAAATACATCAATGCAATATAATATAACTATATTTCAAAAATATCTCTTTAAGGGCCATACACAAATGGAAGCCGACTCCATGCACTCCACGATAGAAAAACGAATTCGAAATAAAGACATTAATGTACCAGCAGATTATGTGACACACTGTGAACATGCTAGGCTGAAGCCATTTCCTTACAAGGTGTTTTATTTAGATTATTCTTTCTTCAAGGATTTTTCAGAAATAAATCATTATACTTCTATTAGACCTGGCCGCAAAGTGGGAGATCCTACAGTCACGAACTTAAAACAACTGAAATATGAAGATATAAATTAAGGCATACTGATAATACTTGGCAGGAATACAGTCAAAGAACAATAGGGCAGAAAAAGCAACACTTGAATAGTGCCCTATTACCATTATTATATAGAGAGAGAAGAAAAATTAAAAAAGAGAAGTTCGAGCATTTACAATCACTAAAAAAGAGCCTAAAAGCAGATTATCACTACTTTTACGATAACATTCCCCATTATTAGTTTTATTTTATATTTGTAAGTTTTCTTTTTAATAAAATATTATTACGTTTGTATTAATTACGAAGTCTTTCCTAATTTACCTATACAGAAATGTGTGCATATCCAAAAAAAAAGCAAAAATAAAAATGAAATAAGTGTAACTCCAGCCAAAAATATAGCAAAAAGCAAAAATAGTAATAAATAATTTCTAATAGTTTGTATTGGTCAACCGCATTTTTGTAAACTTTAAAAAAAATATTTGCGGGGCCTTTTTTAAGACTTATTCAGTTTTATTGCTCTCCTCTACAATTTTTAAATTTGGAGTTACACCATTTTCTGGTTTCACCGACGATATACTGGTTTTTTAAAAGCTAAAGGAATAGGTCTGTCTTTTCGGAAAATTGGCTCAGAATTTTCTTTTAATTTTAATGAAATTTTATCATATTTATACATTCCTATTTTGTTACTAAACAACAATGGATGTTTCATCACTAAATCATTTAATTCATTTCTCATTGATACATTGTTTAAAATACTAACCTTTATATCAAACATTTTCAACCAATCTCTACCTAAAAGATTAGGTCCACTTTGACCATTATTCACTACATATAACTTTATTTCAGCAATTTTATCATTATATTTGGCCGTTACCATAAAATATCCCAAAGGAATGAATGTTTCACCATTAAATGCTTTCAACAATGTGTTTGTTTTCGTCAACCTATAATCAGAAAAACATTTGTTATACATTTCTTTACTTATTGCCGAAATAGAGGCACCACTATCAAACAGAAATTGATATTCCTTATTATCTATTTCTAAACATATTTTAAAAGGATTGTCATCATTCATGATATTGAATACATTATTGCATACATTCACATTACAATAAAACATATAACTTTGCTCATCATTTTCAACATTTTCGCAATTGTCACCATCATCTACAAACCTTACATTTTTGCTACGACATATTTTCGATAAATTACCTACCTTAAAACATTTTGAACATTTATAAAATTTAAACTTGCATGTATTCCTATGAGAATTCCCACAGTGTTTACATATGTCAGCCATCTTGTTGACATTGACGTTTCCATGATTTTGATATCTGTCATACTTGTCATGACGTTGACTGCCATTGCTGCCACCTTTGCTGTCACTTCCGGACCAGTTGCGAGTTTTCAAATTACTTCCACTTTCGTTATGTCGTGAAAACGAACGTTGTCGACTCCAGTCGATGTTCCTCGGGTTCTCACCGTTTTTGCCTTTTGAATTCAAATAATTTACGTTGTTGAAATTGGCCTGACCTTGATGTTTTTGCATGCTTTCTTGCTTCTGGGCAATATTTACAATTTTCTCGAACGTGTCGGTTTCACTTTCTTCACATAGTCTGTCGAAAATTTTTCCAGTTTTCATCCCACATACAAATTTGTCTTTTAACATTACATTTAGATTACTGCCAAATTTACAATGAATTGCATGATTTTTAATTTTTGCATACCACTCTGACACGCTTTCGTCAGTTTGTTTTAAATCATAGAATTTCTTTCGTTCTCCCCATACACTAACTTCTAGATTATACTGTGATTTTAACAATTCACATAATTGTTCGTATGTTTTCTCTTTGGGTAATTCAGGATGATATAAATCTCTCAGCAATTTATACGTTGAAGGACCTATCGAGCTTAATAATACTGCAGTTTTTATCTTACTGTCTGTAATTTTGTTAGCTTCATAGTGCTGGTCTAATCTCTCTTGATAAATTAGCCACTCGTCGGAGTCTGCACAGAATTCAAAATATTTCGCCACGACCGCCATTACGATTTACCGGCTTCACGTTTCACGTGCGCGTTACACGTTACACTTGATAACACGTTGGATTCTTTTTAAAAGTTCACTACCTCGTCGCCATATTTGTTATATCCCTTGGATTTAATAAATGAAAAGACTTTATTTCTGAATATCACTTTTAATCGAGACTCATTCATTCGTACATGCACTATGCTTTTTTTTGTTACCGTCCTCCCCCTTCCGGACGACCCCCCCATGCCCTTTTGCGCATGTGCACTACACTCACAGGTATGCCAATCGGTTTGGCATTCTTTCGCGATACAACAGAACCTACCGACGCTACTGACGCTTCTAATAAATTATATGTTGATAAGCAAGTACAAATATTAAAAGAAAAAATTGATAGTTTTCAAAAGTAACTCGGTGATTATCTTTTAGAACAGTTTACTCTTTTACACGATAATACTCAAAAAGTTACTTACGCTTTAGAATATTAAAATGATAAATTAGTTGATTTAGAGAAAGCAATACATAATAAAATAATATAATATTTATTATCATTTACATGATGAGCTTAAATAAATTTGGTCATAGATCAGGGATATACAATCCTACAGTTCTTAAGCTCACATATGGATTTGTTCACACTACTGACGGTAACATAAATATTGAAAATGTAAAAATATGTAACCTAAAAGAGCCTACTATTGATACAGATGCTTTGAACAAAGGTTATGTTGATATGCAAAATCAAAAATTAAGTGAACACATATTAACATTGACTACTAGAATAGAAGATCTAAGAGATATAATTCAAAATTTACAACAATATTTTGAATGATACAAAAATAAATCATTTCTAAATGATAAAATTACCGAAGTCACGAATGTAGAACAAAATTTACAAAAATCAATAAGTTTAGTTTCCATTCAATTAAATAATATAAAAGATAATTCTGATTATATGCAAAACCAAAGTCATTATTTATCACTTCTAAACGATAGAATAACTGAAACCATAAATATGGAGCAAAATTTACAAAAATCAATAATTTTAGATTCTAAAAAAATAAATACTATTATAAAAGAACATTCAGATCGTTTATCATTGCAGGACGAGAGAATTAGAGATATATCAAAAGATTTATTTACATTAAAAAATTGTACAATGCCTAAAAACTTTAATCCGCAACATGACCTCAAAGGAGAGAAAACAAGTAGTTATTGAAATACATGCTCCGGCACGTAAAAATTATCCAAGAAGACGTACAATTATTAAAGGTCTTTTTGATCTCTGGCAAATGGATCTTGCTGAAATGAGACAATACAGTCAGCAAAATAAGGGCTATAAAATGATATTAGTCTGTATCGATTGTTTCTCAAAGTTTTTATGGACCCGTCTTCTTAAGTCTAAAACAGGGGATAAAATTACAAAAAGATTCGCTGAGATTCTCGCTGATGTTAAAAAAAGTCCTAAAAACCTTCAAACGGATCAAGGTACGGAATTTTTTAATAGAAAATTTCAAAATTTAATGAATAAATATAATATAAATCATTATAATACCTATAGCATTAAAAAAGCTGCAATTGCAGAAAGGGTTATAAGAACATTAAAATCAAAATTATATAAATACTTTAGTTTATATGGTACCTATAAATGGATAGATGTATTAACTCAATTTACCAAAGAATATAATGATAGTAAACATAGTAAAATTGGGTATAAACCCTCAGAAGTTAATAAATCTAATGAAAAAAAATTTTACTTCAAAGTTACAGTCATTTGAAAATTGCCGGTTCACGAAAATTTAACGTTGGTGATATTGTTCGAATAAGTAAATCGAAACATATATTTGAAAAGGGATATACTCCAAATTGGACAACAGAATTATTTAAAATTATCACGAATCCGACTACTTATCTATTGGAAGATATGCAAGGTAGTCAAATAAATATCAAGAGAATATCCATGTGTCATATTACCAATCTCACGAAAGCTTTCAAAAACATCTGTAAGAAGCATTATATCAGTTTTAAAATATAGAAGACTGTATTCTAATAGATTTTTAATATTTAATTTATCCCAAACAGTTTTTGCATGCTGATACTGTTCTTTACTAATATGACTATCATTTAATTTGTTATAAAATTTATCTATGGGTGGTAACTCTGTTTCCTTAAGTTTATCCCAACAATTAATATAATCATAACAAAATACTCCTTTACGTGAAAGTAAATCAAATGTTTCCTCGTCCAAATTATTAAATTCCTTTTTCAAATTTTTAAAATCCTCTTTTTGTAGCGACGACGATAACGTATCGAGAGAGGCTCCCATGAATCTACGAGGATGTATCAAAAAATAACGAGACTGGTGCTATAGTATAACAACGAAACATTTATTTAAAAAAATTCAACAACTATCCTTCGAAGTACTCGCCATTCTGTTGAATACACTTATTCCATCGCTTTATCCACTTATCATAAACTTCTGAGAAACCATTTTTTGATAGTCTGTTTAGTATACCCATCACAGCGTTGTTGAGCTCTAAATCCGACTCAAATCTTCTACCTATCAATTCTTTTTTGACTTCAGGAAACAAATGGAAGTCACATGGAGCAAAGTCAGGAGAGTAGGGGGGATGAACCATAATTTCAACCCCTAATTCTTCAATTGTTCGTTGACAAATCATTGATCTATGAGCCGGAGCATTGTCGTGATGCAGCGTCCAGCCAAAGTCCTGATAAAGCGGCCTTTTTTTCTTTAATTTTGCCTTTAAGGGTCCTCGAAGTACATTATAATAGTACTCCCCTGTTACTGTATGTCCTCTAGGTACAATGTGATCGTAAATAACGCCAAATTTATCCAAAAAAATTAGGTGCATCACTTTACCAGCGCTTTTAGCAGTTTTGGCCTTCTGCGGTCTTGGGCTGCCTTTATGCTTCCATTGCATACTTTGAGACTTTAATTCAGGATCGTAATGATAAAACCAACTTTCGTCACATGTAACCACATTATTTAAAAACTGTGGGTTAAGTTGCAATTGCCTTTTCCACTGCTGACAAATTGTCACTCGATTCGCTTTTTGTTCATCGGTCATCACTTTTGGAATCCATCTTGCCGCGATCTTCCGGTACTCTAAATCTTCATGAATAATTTTTTGAGTGGTACCGTAAGACAAATTAACATTTTCAGAAATTCGTTTCATGCTAATCCGGCGATCATTTTGTATTAAGTCGTTAATTTCTGCAATTTTTGTGTCATTTCTCGCAGTTTGTGGTCGACCGGGACGAGGTTCATCTTCAACTGATTCACAACCGTCTTTAAACTTTTTATGCCACTCAAACACTCTACATCGTGATAAACTATTATCTAGATATGCACCTTTAATCATTTTAAAAGTTTCAGTTGGTGTTTTACCCAATCGAACACAAAATTTTTTCGCGTATCTTTGCTCCACTTTCATTTTTCGATGGGTACGCAAAACACTGACAATTCAATAGGTAATTTGTAACAAATGTCAAAAGTTAAATCAAAGCCTACTTGCGGGGTAGTACATTAAATATAAGGCTTTCATGTCTCATTTTTTGGGTTATAAAATGTTACTTCTGAAAAAAGTTATAGCACCAGTCTCGTTATATACTGATATATCCTCGTAAACGAATCAATAGAACGAAATTTAATTTCAGTATTTATATCCTGATACGTGAAAGAAATATATTTTTCTTTGTTAATAGGTAATAAACTTATTTTACTTAATTTGGCAAGATGCTTTATTATGAAGTGACTATCATAGCTTGTCAAATTGTGAAATACAATTGGAACAATAAATTTTTTCCTGTAATTTAAATTACAACTCTGTCTCTATCATTGGAACAATATTTTTAAATTTAGATTGAACAAATTGAGCAATATGAGATATTTGCTTAGCAAACCAATCCATACAGTCTTCACCTGCATAGCTATTGAAATATGATTGATTATCGTCATATGAACATTTTAGATAATAACCTGCACTAAAAGCCCTATGGAACTGATACTTGGATGTTTTTAAATTTGGTTTATCTACAAAAGGTTCTAATATTGATTCAAAATCAGCGTAAATTATAATAATAATAATAATAATAATAATAATACTCTCCCTAATTCACCCCCTTACGAGTGAATTTCAACCCCTGAAGTCGACTGAACGACTTGTGTAGGGGAAGGGACGGCTATTATTATTATTTGCCGTGGCGCTCCGGGGCGACTTAAAGATGATTGATGGTGCCATTTGACTTACAGGTGAGGAAAACCCGGAAAACCTTACCCACCATCATCGAGACGGTAATGTATGGCGAATTTTTTTTAATCTGCATGTCATATCAACAGAAATTTAATTTCTATTAATACGCCACACATCAAATCCTAAACCGAACCATGCAATTTAATTAAAAATCCAAATGGTCTGGTCTGGGATTCGAAACCCAGCAGCCTCAGACTCATAAACTTGCCTATAAATGAATATAAGCGCGATAGACCGCTACACCACCGTCCCGATGCGTAAATTATGAATGGTATTTTTTCCTTATGAACAAAATTCTTAAATTTCACAAACAAGTCTTTGGGAAATGAAACTTTAGTTTTATTTTGATCTACACAATAAACTCTATGCTCGTTTAATTTGAAATAACTAGAAAAATAATTCAAACATCTATCACAAATAAACTTTTTATGATTGCTTTTACTCAACTGATTAGATAATATTCTAGAAAGATTTTTTATCCAGCAATAATGATATTGAATGTCAATATTAAAGTCATCTATTGGTACCGCATCATAATCATTAATTTTCGGAAAATATTTATCTTGAATTAACAGCAAATTAACATGTGAAGATAATTTTTTATTGGTAAGTCTTACTGGAACAGTAAAATATATTTTCTTTTGTTTAATTTCATTTAACTCCAATACATATACATTGACTGAAATATCATTTAATTTTTCAAATTTTGAAATGTCTTTTAAAGTCATTGGTAAATCTAAACCTTCCGTTTTTAAAACTTGTTTGTAATGGGGATAAGATGATATTCTGCGAGAATTTTGTTCTACAGGAAAAAGAGCACTTACTATTGACCAATAAAAGCATGCATTATCATCATTTTCAATATTTATGCAAGCACGTTTAGTTTTTATTTCACCAGGTAACTCTACAAAAGATGAAGCCCCATTTCCCTGCTCTAATTTATTAACGTTAACTTCTAAAGATACTATTTTCTGTAAAGCCCACCCTGATAATTTTTCCTCAAATTCTGAAATCTTATTTAAAATTTTATCTATTACGTTTTCTTCAAACCAAATGTTTAAGTTCGTTCCTACATCAATAGACTCATTTCGAGTATTAAAATATTTCCATTCTATAATATCATCATTTTCTATATATTTTTTAATAAATTCACCACAAAATGTTGTATTGACTTTGAGCATATGAAATTTTTTTAAATTATTACTGATTCTAATTTTAAATAAATAAAATGCATCTATTAAAAATTGTGTTATGTCCTTATGCACTAAATTTATGATTACACCGGTTCTTACACGATCCTCAAAAATAGAAATTATGTCTTCCCATTTTACTCTACTACTACGTTTCGGACTCAATCCTTGTCCAACATGACCATTTTTTATTAAAATTAAAAATCGTTTTAAATGTCCAATATTAGTTTGTAATTTATTTAACAATTCCAGAGATAATTTGAATTATTAAACATAGTCCTAATAACGTTCCTACACTTAAATCTGCATCATTAATTGCAATATTACATAGCCGAATATGACTTTTAAGATGTTTAACCCAAACCTCC